GCCGAGCGGCCGTGTGCAAGCAGCCGCGCACGAGCTGCTCCACCTGCGGGCGGTCGCCCTCCTTGCCATAGGGCGCAACGAGGAGGCTGCCAAGAGCCTCTCGCTCGCGCTCGGGCGCGAGGGAGGAGGCTCGCGCGGACGCCGCTTCGAGACGCTCTCCGGCCTGTTCATCAAGGCTGCCGTCGCTGCGCCACACTGCGCACTTGTGCCGCTCCAGGCCTACCTGCCACCGGAGCAGCCCGACGCGTGCGGCTCATCACACTCCCGCAACTCCCGAGGGCCCCTGAGCACCCGGCGGGACCAGGAGGCCGGCGGTGCTCTCGCGCCCGTCTTTCGGATCGTGCTGCGGCCCCGCAGCCCACCTTGGCCGATGCGCCTCGTGATCCCACGCAAGACTGACACGTGGACGCTGGCCTTCTACTGCACACCTCGCCAGCCGGGCCCCGCGGCGTCAGAGGCGCCGCACGTACGCCTCACGAGCGCAGAGAGCAGTTCGCCGACGCCGAGGCTGGTGCAGATCGACGTCCGCGTGGACGGCATTGTCGAGGCCGGCCGCCCTCCCACCGCACTGTTCCCCTCCTAGAGACGCACTCACGCGGCTCCGGCTCGCAGGTCCTCTCGAACGCGAGCACCGCCGCGTGGCGTGGACTCGAGGAGGCGCTGCCGCCGGGGGTGAGCAGGAGCGACTTTGAGGTGCTCAGCGAGGGCTGGCAGCGAGAGGGGCGGGGACCCGAGGTCTTCTCGACGCTCGCGCGCGACGAGTGGCGCGAGCGGCACTCGGACCGCCGCACAAGTGAGCTGAGCCGGCAGCAGGCGGCGCGAGAGCTCGAGGAGTGGCTCTCGCAGCTAGGGTTGCTAGAGCTGGCGCCGCTCCTGCTGTCGGAGGGGGTCGACCTGGAGACAGTGCAGGAGGGAGGGTCGGGGGGGACGCGCCGACTAGGGGCGGTGTAGGCTGAGCGCCCACCCACCACGCAGGTGCTTGAGGACACGGATCTCATCCGAATGAACGTCGGCGCGCTGGGCACGCGGCGCATGTTGCTGAACGCGCGCAGCACGGTCACACACTACAAGCAGCTGCGAGAGACCATCGCGCGGCTTGAAGCCGAGGCAGCCAGGAAAGAGAGCGCACTAAGAGAGGCGCTGCTCCAAGCCAGGAGTGCCGCCGAGGGGGGTGACGCGGCTACCGCGCGAGCGTCAGAGCTCGCCGAGCAGCTGCGGGCAGAGAGGGAGCGCAGCGCCGGGCTACAGCTCGCTCTCGACGAGCAGGCCGAGTGCACGCTTGCGGAGGCCGCGCGGGGCGAGTCGTGGAGGGAGCACGCCCTCGCGTTTGCCCACGACTTGGAGGCGGTGCAGGAAAGGCAGCACGCCCTCGCCGAGGCGCAGCGCAGCATCGCGGAGGAGAGCCATCGCTCGATTCAGTCGCTACTGCGAAGACAGAACGACTACTACCAGCGCGCTCACAATCCGAGCAAACTCTTAGGGTTGCGAGCAGCTTGGCTCA